TTCAATGAATACAAATTCTGATTATAGGCACTCTGGTGATTATAAAGGGAGTGGCAGGTCACCGTAACCAGAAGTGTGGCAGCTTATCTTCAGTTCCTGCTTGTAGTCATTTTGGATAATGCCCTTGTTCTCCAATCCCAGTGTTTCCTGTGTCAGGACCCCCACTTCAGAGAGCTGCTTTCTTAGCCTGAGCTTGGTGGCAAACTCCATAATTAGGTACTCCACAAAGAGGAAGTGGAATGGCTTAGCTGTTCCACTCTTCAATTAACTCATCTTTCAATAATCTGCTCTTTATCTTCTAGGAAGTCCACATTGTTCATTTTCTGGTTTTCCAACTCTGCTATTAATTTATTTTTGTTTTAATATTTCTCCAGTCATTTCAATGGGACTCTGGAAGAGTAAAAGAATGTGTTCAGTGATCCATGTTAAACCATAAGTTCTCGTATGTAGTTTATAATCAGGATCTTCTAAAAAATTAACCATCTTGCTGATCTTCTGAAAATCAAGTGTTACTATTTTGAGATTAGGGATTATTTTGTAAATATCCATTTGAAATTAGACTGATTCCTGGCCTTAGTATTGGGTATGCATACAACAGTAATTTTTGACCAAAAGTAATTATGGCATATTTAGGGCAAGATGACAAGCTCTTTGCTACTGTATCACATCTGACACTGTTTAAAAATAAAACAGAATTCCTGTTTGCATAGATTGCGTATGCTCTGGTAAACACTCAGCAAAGGTATACAGTAATTTCTCAGTAAAGGTACATGCTCATAAACTCTAACCCAAATGAAAATATTTCATTTCAATTAAGTGACATTGCTTTAGGTTGAGTATTGAAAGTTTAATGAAGTACTGAAATTGTACTTATTAAGCAGCAAAGTATCCATATTTATAATTTTTAATGGAATCACTTCAAATGATCAATAAAACATGTAAATATGAATTTTAAAACTATAATTATGTATGTGTATATATGTCTCTGAAAAATCTGTGTCAAAGAAAACTGAGGCTATCAGTATAAACTCATTTAACTTCTATCTCTTCTTACCTCTATTTCCTCCCAAACTTACCAGTATCCATCCAACTCGAAGGATATAAGTGCTTTTTATATACTGTGCAAGGTTTTTTTCTTATCCATATTTCCATGTTTCCCCAATTCTCTAAGTTACTTATCTACATCTTCAGGATCTCCTTTATTGGTTCCTTCATTTCAACATATAAAATATAAGTCCTTCTCACTCTAAAAAATTCTTTTTTGCTAATTATTTTCTCTTTTCATCCAAACTCCTTCAGAGTAGCCTATTCCCACTGTCTTCACTAGCCCTGCCTGGCCGCCACAGGCAGCTCTACACCCTCAACTTATTGCAATCTGGCTTTCTTGTCCACCACTTCACTGAACTGCTCTAAGGTCACTGGGGACCTAACTGCCCAAATCCAATGGACACTTACAGTCTCTGAAGTATGACACTGTCATCCACTTCCTCCTTCTTGAAATTCTATCACCTCTCTCCTTCCCAAAATTCTTTCTCTGCTTATTACCTAAACTTTGACAGTACCCACAATTCTCTGAAATCTCATCCATTTTCATGATTTTAATGACTGCTTATATGTGCTGATGACATTCAAATTTTTATCTTTCCATGTCTTCACATGCATATCCAGTTATCTACCAGTTAATCTCCTGAATTCTACAGGTGCTTTAAAATTCAACATGTCCAGAAGTAAAGTCTTTTCCCCAATTCAGTTCTTTATTCCCTATTTCCAAACTCAATGATACCACCACCCAACCTTAGTCACACAGATGGGGGTCCAGCCTCCGCCTCCTACTTCTTCCTTACTTCCCAAGACCAAGGCTTGCTTGTAATTTTCGAAATAAAATTAGAACTTATTTCCTCCCTTCATCTATACCTTATTTCAGACCCCTTTCTTCTTGCTATTACCTGGTCTAGAAGTTACCAAATTGCTGTTTGGTGGAACCAGTTGTTAGACACTTCTATTAAAAAAGGACTCTACAATCAAATATATTTGAGGATGGCTGTGTACCACACGCCTGCTGTGATGATCCAGAATGAACACTAGCCTACAGCAGCCCCGAGAAGCTGTACAGTAAAGAAACCTGGTTAACTTTACTTAAGCCAGGTTCTCCCTTCTGCCGGCCTATAGACCTTTCAGTAGGGACAGGAGAGGAGGTGGCAGCGTGAAAGTCCCACTTGAAAAGAGAAAACACTGCTCCTCAGAAGAGTGGGGCATAACTGTCTCCAGGCTTCTTCAAATTCCTCATCCACACTGACGTCAGTGGTCTAAAATGCCACCTGAACTTGTGCTTTCCATTCTGAGCTGTTTTCTGAGGAAGCCAGCTCCACGCACGTGGGTGGTTAAGACCCCCTCTCCTCCTCGCGGCCTCCTTTAGGGGCACTTGCCACTGCCTGGGGACACTGCACTGATCCTCCAGAGCCTGAGCCTGTGGCTCCGTGACACCCCCCCCGCACACTCACGGCTCTGGACTTCCGCTGTCCTCTCTGCCTTGAGTGTCCTTTCCCTTCACCGGCTGACTCACCAGTTTTTCACGAGTCCTTTAAGACTTAGCTTAGGGACTGCCTCTTTCGATGACTTTTCTTTGCCTCACAGCTCCCCCTCTTCTTCCACAAACACTGACCAAACGCCCTGAATATGCCCGTCATAGCATGTCACGTGCAGGATGAGACATCTGCTGAGCGTCTTCCCCTCTCACTCCACTGCTAAAGGGCCAACGCTACATCTTGGTCAATGTTTCACTCCTCTAACACTCAATCCATGACTAATGAACTAAACTGTAGTAGCCCTCTTAGTAACAATCAGGCAGGACCTTCTAGAAGAAATCTGACACTCCAGCTTTTCTCTGATCTCACCTTTCAGTCTGGCTGAACTAAAGACTTATCTGTGCATGTTTATCAGGGAGACATAATTTAATCCAGAGATGTGTCATCACATACTCTTACATACTCTGCCGTTTAAAAATTCTGCTCACGATGGGGGAAGGAGACAGGTGTGCTTTCTGACAGCCCCACTGTTTTGCACTTCTAGTGCTCACTGGCTTCTCTCTCGATGCCCTCCTTAAACCCTTCCTCTCTTAACAAGGAAACAGGATAACAACGTAATTAACAGCCTGGGTTCTGCTTATCTGTGAAACAGAAACAGAACCAGGGACATAGAGAATAGACTGGTGGTTGCCAAGGGGGAGGGGGTGGGAGAGGATTGGATTGGGAGTTTGGGATTAGCACATGCAAACTGGTGTATATACAGGATGGATAAACAGAAAGGTCCTACATGGGACTTCCCTGGTGGTGCAGTGGTTAAGAATACACCTGCCAATACAGGGGACACAGGTTCGAGCCCTGGTCCAGGAAGACCCCACATGCCACGGAGCAACTAAGCCCGTGCGCCACAACTACAGAGCCTTTGCTCTAGAGCCCGTGAGTCACTACTGAAGCCCGCGTACCACAACTACTGAAGTCCATGTACCTAGAGCCCGTGCTCCACAACAATAGAAGCCACGGCAATGAGAAAGCCTGTGCACTGCAACGAAGAGTAGCCCCCGCTCACCACAACTAGAGAAAGCCCGCACGCAGCAACAAAGACCCAGTGCAGCCAAAAATGAAAAATAAATAAATATATTTATTAAAAAAAAAGTGGATGTATTTAAAAAAAACCAAAAAGACCCTACTGCATAGCACAGGGAACTATATTCAATATCCTGTGATAAACCGTAATGGAAAAGAATATGAAAAAGGATGTATATAAATGTATAACTGAGTCACTTTCCTATACAGCAGTAATTAACACAACACTGTAATTCAACTATACGTCAATAAAAAATAAAATTTTAAAAAACTGCCATAAAAATAATCACATAAGGGGGACTTCCCTGGTGGTCCAGTGGTTGAGACTTCGCCTTCCAATGCAGGGGGTGAGGGTTCGATCCCTGGTCGGGGAGCTAAGATCCCACACGCCGTGCGGCCAAAAAACCAAAACATAAAACAGAAGCAATACTGTTAACAAATTCAATAAAGACTTTAAAAATGGCCGACATCAAAAAAAATCTTTAAAAAAAAAATCACATAAATCAGAAACAAATGAAACATAATAAAGTCCATACATTAAAAAAAAAGAGCATGGGTTCCGGTCACATCCCAGCTTCCCACTTACAGCTGTGTAATTCTGGGCAACTCACATAATGTCTCCTCAGACTCCTCATCTGTAAATGGGGATGGTAACAGTTCCCTACCCCAGAGCATTGCTGTAATCCATAAACACGGTTAAGTGCCTTGGTAAATTGTTTGATGCTCTCTGGTTATTGTGAATTAAAATATGTCAATGGCTTCTGGCCGTACGATTTATAATAGTTTGACAGTTAACCAAATGTTAAAACTATTCCATTTATTATTCCCATCTCTTTTTACCCCTTACCCTGCTTTGTTGTTTATGTTTTCTCCCACCAGAGTGTTAGTTCCAGGAGAGTAAAGGCTTTTTTTTGTTCACTGCTGAAAGCAATAGCACCCAGAAAAGTACTGTACATATGAAGCCCTCAGTAAACACTAGCTGAAGAATGGTGCAAACTGTCACAAGGAAAAATACACCCAAACTTTCATTATAATAAAAAGGTATAGATAAATCTTTCTCTAATGGCTTCCAGTCAAGTATTTTAAAATACCATATGCTATACTAAAAACACAAGTAATTTATTAAAATTTGAAGGTAAAAACATAATTTTAAAAGATTTAGACTTATGTTAGGCGTGATAGAGTGTGGATGCTTTCTTGAAATTCAAAATCAGATCCAAGAGTATCACTTTCAGAATGTTCTAGTAGACTGAGTTTACTTTTAGTTGTCTTTGATGAAACAGTCACTATTCTACTCTCTTTCTTAACAGAAATGTGTTTTTTCGAAGACTCACTTCTAGTTGGTTCATGAAGCAAAGAATTATTTTGCCCAATTCCTTTGCTTTTCTGCTTTACAGGTGAGTCAGAGCAGGAATGCAGGTCCTTCCCAGGTTGTTTCTTAGCAGAGTAGTTTTTGGTATATTATGCTCTGCTCATTTTCTCTGAAGAAGACCTGCTATTTCTAGGTAATTCCTCTTCTTTTCTTTGACTTCCAGATTCAGAAATGACGTCTGCTGAAGGAGGACATGTTCTAGCAATGAAATCTTCAAAAGACTCCTGCCGCTGCTCTGTGACTGGGAACTCCAGGTTATCTTTGGAAGTTTCTAAGGCCTCCTGAGTAGAGACTGGGACCTGGAAGGAGTCGAGAGACAAAGGAATCCTAGCATCACCTGTAATTTTCTGAAACTGGAAGGAAAAACAAAAGACAAGACAAAAATTCAGTGATGCACAAAGCCAACCATTAAAAAGTAGAGTTCAAAACTTCAATGTTACTCTGCGATATTATTATTAAGACAGTCAATTGATTATTCAGAAGATTTCAGAGCCAGTTTCTTTCTAATTATATCTTGCCAAGTGATTCTCAACTTAACCTAGCTATATCCAAGGCTATGTTCGCTATATTTTCAGACTTTGGTGGCTGGGGTAGTTATTACCCATTTCCTTTCCCTCACTAAAAATAAACCCTACTTTGTAAGAAAATTAATTTCTTTTCTATCCTCCAGGCACATGTAAACAGTATATAGTTTGTGAACAGACTGTGTTCTCAAGCTTTCAGTTCCCAAGACCAGTCTGAGATTGGCTGAGGTGGGAGAAGGGGGCTCCAAGTGAGGCTGAAGGAAGAGGTGACAGGTTTCCCCTCCCAATCCCATGACCAGGGGAGTCACTATAATATGTTACCTATTAGCTATGTCTGGATTACTTATTTGAAAAATTATCTATATCAGTACGTATACCTTCATTAGTGTTCCTTCATTGTAAGCTGACTGCATACAAATAGAAACCTAGATAAAATATGAATAGAATAGACATCTATACAATTTAAAATTTGGAATATGTTCTCTAATGTTTTCTTTCTTCATTAAGGATAGTTTGCTTTAACTCATAAATTTTCTAAAGAACTTCCAGTTTTCTTATTTACAACAATACAGTATCATGAAATGGGCACACATTTACTACTAAGCTCAGATTTGGAAAGGACTCCAGAGTCTTCTAGTTCCCAAGCATGTGAACTATTAGAGACTGATCATTATTGTTTTCTCCCTGACCTGGTTATTTCCTTTTTGCTAATCACTCTTAGAATCAGTAAGTGCTGTTCTGTCCACTTACTTGGATATTTTGCATTTGTCCTGGGGCACTCTGCTTTGATTCTGATTTTTCTTCTTCAAGTGCCTTCTTGTCTTCTTTAGGTGGACTACTAACAGCAGAATTCATCTGGGGACGACCTAGTAAATGAAAATCTGACTGATCTATACCAGCCATTGTGGCCAGCTGCCCAAGCCTGGACCAGAGGAGGAAAGGAGAAAAGACAAAGGTTATTATAATCACAGAAGAGCAGTTTAGATTTCCCCAGACCTACAATCATGAAATACTTCTAAAATAGTAAAAGTCAGCATCCTACTCCAGACTACAAGCCTCTCCCCCAAATTCTCAGCCCTTTCCAGATTCCTCCTCTAGGACATACCCCATCTCCTTACCTATTACCCCTCCATTTTAAATACTGTCTCACTAGCAGCTTCAACATCTACCACGCACCTCGTCCACTGCCTGTCACACCTCCATTCCCACACCTCTTTACCACCTTTCCTCCAGTTTCCAAGAATGTGTTTGTTCCTTCCTTCCCAACACCAATTCATTCACTGACCAAACACTACTCCATCAACTATCAATCTCCACTTCCCTCTTTCAGCAAAATTGCTCCCAGTTGAGAACCACTGACCTATATCTTCTCTGCAGATTAATAGTAATTTTTATGTCTAAGACAAAAATAACTTTAATTTAAACTTATCAAACAAGCAAATAAGTGAAAGATAGGAATATTCTTATCCATCCCCAAATATTTTCAATGAAAATTGCCTTCAGTTTAGTCTTTACAAAAAACTGTACCTACTAATTACTCTGTCTACAGGTTACTCCTCTATAATGGGCTCCCCACTCTACCAAAGCAGGCTCCCCTATTTGCAGTTCTTAAAAAATTTAATTCCTCATTTAAAAAAGTCAACTATATTACCTATAATTATACTAAATATGCCCATGGAAGTGATGAAAACTGCTCCAGTTCCTCAGCAAACTACCATTATAGTCGCAAAGAGAAGAACACCATGAAGAGAAATGAACTAACCCAGCATCTTTAAGGAGATCCAAGAAAGCGTGGAACTTCTGAAAAGAATTCTCAATGCTGCCCAAAACACCTTCATCATCCAGGATCATGCTTGTCAATGAGTGTGCATGAAGGGCTTCAGACAAAGAGAAATTTATATTTCTTAACTGGGCGTTTTCATGTTCCAGCTATAAAAGAAAACTGAAAATGTCTGACATGATTTTTTCTCATTGTCATCAAAAGTAGCCTTGTCTACTTTCAAGGAACAAAACTAAAACACTCAAAATGTAATTAATTTGTAACTAACCTAATTCTCCACCAGTAAAGACAGAGACCGCATCACATAATAACCAAAACCCACAGGCACCCAACAAAGTTTCCTATACAACACTTAGGTGGTATATAAATAAACCAAAGTTATCATTTTATTAATGATCTTTCACAAAAGATCACATTTCTAACTGGTTAAAAACATATTGGAGCCTCATTCCACATTAGAAAATTACCTGCTTTAAGTTTCCCTTAAATTAGAAAATGAAATATAGAATCTGATTTGGACAAAACATATTACAACTCTGCTGAATGTTAAGAATTAACTTTAGTGAGCAAAGTATCTAATGCTTACGTTTAAAAGTCCTAAATCATACCCAACCCAATTTATTAAATGTACGGTCACCAATGCTTTCTTTGGCTCCTTCAAAATATTCACTCCCGTGCACTCTTCCCCTTCCGCTTATAACCTATGCACTTAAAACCCCCTATAGGGCTTCCCTGGTGGCGCAGTGGTTGAGAGTCTGCCTGCTGATGCAGGGGACACGGGTTCGTGCCCCGGTCCGGGAGGATCCCACATGCTGTGGAGCGGCTGGGCCCGTGAGCCATGGCCGCTGAGCCTGCACGTCCGGAGCCTGTGCTCCGCAACGGGAGAGGCCACAACAGTGAGAGGCCCGTGTACCGCAAAAACAAACAAACAAACAAAAAAAACCCTATAAGCTCAACTCCAGTATTTCTCAGAAAGGCCGTTATGTTCATGATGCCCCTTTTGCCTTATATAAGCAGGTGCTCAACATTTATCGAATGAGTGCCCGCCAATCCAATGGATGCACTTTCAAAAATTCCTCCCTACACTCACCCTGTGATAAATTATATTTAGATAGAACTTTTTAGATTATGCCCTGCTTTCATGTACATTACCTAATGTAATTATCATAGTATATATTTTTATCTTTCATTGTATTCTTAGAAGTTTTCCAATATCTTAAATTTATTTAAATGATTCCCTTTCCTAACTCATTGCCAGGAGAGTCTCATCATGTCTTTTATGTTACTGTATATACAGTATATGCACAAAAAGTGCTTTCTTGAATCAAAGAATCATGAACAGAAAATAAGCTAATGTCATATAAAAGCTCACACACACACACACACACACACACACAAAACCAGATTTTCACATTTTTAAAAATATGCTTTCTGGAATATAGATCATATGATCACTAAATACCAGTAAATGCAAAAGTCCATATGATACAACCAATTTGCAACATATTACAGTTTTATATACATATTACAACATATTACATACAAACTATGTGTATATGGCTTAAAATCGAATCAAAATAAAACCAAAACACTCTCAAAAGTATAAGAAGAAACTTGTTTACCTCACTGACTCGTTTATCAGCCTTAAGTCTTATTACTCTTTCCTCCTTTAACTGCTTTAGGCACTCCTCCAGTTTTTCCTAAACAGAGTAAATATTATGATAATTCATAGTATAATATCCAAAAGCCTTTCCAGCTATAGGTCTCATCAGGATTTAGGGGCAGAGCCAGAAGTGAACTCAGATTTTAGTCTGCTACTGGTAATATCATACCATGCTAGTGAAATGAATTATCAAAATATATCAAATTAGCATAGTAAAGATTTATTTAAATCCCACTCTTTGCTCTTTCCAACATAAATTTGTGGCAGCCCACCATAAAAGCCATATGCGTATAACATAGTAAGTCAGAAATAAAAAGTTAAGACCAAGAAAGAAAAATTCTATTTTTATTTGTGGGTCTCTTTATAGTAGGAAATCCTATTAATGAACATGCGTAACATAACTGAATTGCATAACTGCAGATTCAAAAGCATTTTTTTTAAAGTAATCACTTTTAAAGCAATTTACAGTCAAGCACTGTTCCTGGAGTTCTCTGGGCATTAAATAATCTAATGATCAAAACCCTAAGGGGGGCTTCCCTGGTGGCACAGTGGTTAAGAATCCGCCTGCCAGTGCAGGGGACAAGGGTTCGAGCCCTGGTCCGGGAAGATCCCACATGCTGCGGAGCAACTAAGCCCGTGTGCCATGACTACTGAGCCTATGCTCTAGAGCCCATGTGCCACAACTACTGAGCCCGTGTGCCTAGAGCCTGTGCTCTGCAACAAGAGAAGACACTGCAGTGAGAAGCCTGTGCACTGCAACAAAGAGTAGCCCCCGCTCAATGCAAGTAGAGAAAGCCCGCGAGCAGCCACGAAGACCCAGCACAGCCAAAAATAAATAAATAAAATAAATTTATTAAAAAAAAACCAATAAAACCCTATGAGGAAAGAACGATCACTAACTCCACATTATTTTACAGATGAGGAACACAGAGGCAGAGAAGTAGAGTAACAGCCAAGGTCACACCACCTTGTAGCAGAGCCACACTGGGAACTCAGGAGGCTTGGTGCCATTCCCGTTCACGGAGGTGGTAGTCTTCCCATCACCAAGGTCAATAAAATAAAATGAACACTGATAAACTCTCTTATGAGCTTTAAGAACTAAGACACTTAGGTCCTTGAAGTGGGGACACTGCTTGCAATAGGCAGAATTCTAACAGAGCCCCTAAGACTCCTACTTACTGAAGTACACAAACCTTCCAATCATCCAATCAAACCCTAAATCTAGGTGCTGCAGTGAAGGGATTTTGCAGATGTAACTAGGGTTCAAAATCAGTTGATTTTTTAAGATAGGGAGATTATTCTAGGTGGATGTGACCTAATCAGGCACCCCATAAAAAGGACCTGAGTGCTTCCCTGGTGGCGCAGTGGTTGAGAGTCTGCCTGCCGATGCAGGGCACACGGGTTCGTGCCCCGGTCCGAGAAGATCCCACATGCCGCGGAGTGGCTGGGCCCATGAGCCATGGTCGCTGAGCCTGCGCGTCCGGAGCCTGTGCTCCGCAATGGGAGAGGCCACAATAGTGAGAGGCCCGCGTACCGCAAAAAAAAAAGGACCTGAACTCTTCCTGAATTGAAGTACAAAAGGGACAAGAGGGAGACTCTCCATTGCTGGCTCTGAAGAAGTCCGATGCTGTGGCAGGGAAGGCAAGCGAGAGGCCTCTAGGAGCTGAGACTGTCCCCCGACTGACAGCCAGCAAGGAAATGGGGACCTCTGTCCTGCAACTGCAGAATCTGAATTATGCCAGCAAGCCGAAGAAGCCTGGAGCCATTCTTTCCCAGAGCCTCTGGATGCTAACACAGCCAGCCTGACATCTTGATTTCAGCTCTGTGACCCACACAGACTATGGTGAACATCCATCGTTTGGGACTCTATGTCTTATACTTAAATTTCACGTGCTTTAACACTCTCAGGAAGGAACCCACATGTTCCTGTGAGTATCTGAGCAGGAAACCCAGTCACGCTGTGCCTGGACTTCTGACCTACGGAACTGTGAGCTAGTAAAATAGGTATTGTTTGCAGTCAGTAGGAGTGTAGTAAAAGAATTAATATTCTACTCAACCTCCAGGTTCGTGAATAAAATAAATGATTGTCATTGTTTTAGGCCACTGTTTCGGGGTGGTTTCTTATGCAGCGATAAACAATCAGAATACCTATATTTATGAAAACAGTACGGTATATTTATACATTTTAACTGCTTTGAACAATCACTTAAAGAATGAGGAACTCTATTATATGCCATCATTGGGAGAGGAGCTGGTATCACTTTCTGGAGAGGAGCTCTTGGTACCTAACAACAATCCTACATCAGGAGTTTACCCTAAGGAAATCAAAGATGTGGGCAAAGATTTATCTACCAACATGATGTCGTAAGATTGTTTATAACCAAACCCTAGAAGAAAGCTCAGAGCCTCCAAATTGGGACTGGTTTAAAGAAAAACAGCTCACCGTCTGTAGGAATGTGCTACGAAGCCACTAAGAAAAGAATGACAAGAGGTCTCAACCAGAGTTAATGAATGGGCTTCAGGAGTTCTACATTCAAAATATATCTATGCGTTTTTCCTGGGAGATGGTGCATAAGCTTAATCAAATTCTCTGATGTAGAAGAGTATTTAGTGACATGGCAAAATATTTTGATACTTTTTTAAGACAAAAGATTAGGTGTGTGCACATGCAGAGGTGGCTTTTATTTCCCTCAATAAGTTGTTCATTGTTTTCAAAAATTTGCTCAATGAACATATATTTTTATATTTAGAACATATTTAAAAACTTGAGTCTAATAACTTCAAATTCTTTAATGTTTCATTACTAAAGCCAGCCAAGTTTTCAATGGTGAAAACGGGAAAAAAATTGCAAAATTCCTCTGCTTTTAATATAATGGTTTAATAAATCTTGTAAAACTGATTTCAAAGAAATTCTAAACAAATAAGCAAACAAACAAAAAAACCTCACCACAGTCAGAGGAAAGCAGACTAAAAATTCCTGACTGGTTCTAAATAGCACATCAAAGTGCAATTACATGAAATAGTTTCTCCCTCTAGTGGAGGAAATTAGAACACAGTGTTAAATTTTTGTGAAAAAGTGTACCCTCCTCCTATAAAGTATCAATAATTCATGTCCCTTACTTGGAAGTATGGAACCAAAAAAGTTAGAAAGTAAAATTGCTTGATATTCTATTACTTAAGTAAGACTAATGATAAGGCTTTGGAATAATCTTCCTTCCTGTCATCTGCTCTCCTTCCTCCCTTCTGTACACCGGCTAGGGTGACTTTTCTGGGACAAAGCTCCCATCATATTGTATATTAAATTTTATGTTCAACTTTTTTCCATTTAACATTGAAATAAATCATTTCTCATATAATCAGGGGATTCATAACCTTGATTTTTTTTTGTGGGCTACAAAATATTCCACTGAGTGGGTTTACTGGTTAACCATTTTACACATTTAAATTCTTTCCAACTTTTCAATATTATAAAACAAAACAACTGTTTTTATGCATGAAGGCTTTTTTCCATACTGAGAATGACGTTCTTGCAATAAATCCATAAAAATGAGTTTGAGGTCAAAGCAAATGAACATTTTTAAGACTGAGGTACCTATCTCCAAACTTCTTTCCAAAAGATTTCTAAGATTTTATACTGCCATCAGTGATGTATCACTTGGTATATAACCTCTACTATAACTGTTGGCTTACTTCCTCACTTAGAGTGCAAGTTATTTGAAGAAAGGAGTGTATTTTATTAAGTGTTTATCCCCAGCACCTGTGCCTAGCACAAAGTAGACGGTCAATAAATAATTGCTTAATAAGAAAAATCCCTGCCAATACAAGATGTATGTGTGTGAAAGAAGACTGTTATGTTTTTCTCTAACTGGATAGATGAAAACTTGTCATCTTCTTTCATGTACAATTTTTTTGCTTATAATTAGTAATTAAATTCTCTTTTAGATTATATTTTTAAAATTCAGATTCTCTGAGGCAAATGGGCCTGGCCCTACCCATTAGCTATATAACCTTGGACAAGTTCTGTAACTCTAGGTCTCAACTTCCTCATTTACAAAATGGAGATAAGCTCCCATATCACAGAGCTCTCGCGAGGATTACATGAATTAAAACACATATAAAATTAAAAGAGTGCTTGGTACATAGAATATATTCAATTAATGCTGAATGAATGAACATGCGAACGCAAACAGTAGTGAAGGGCTTAAAATGAAATGGTCTCATCCCACTCCCACATCCAGCACTCAAGAAGCGACCGATTCCTTAAACAGGTTTTTAACTGTAAAATACAATATGCGTAGTGAGAGGCACACAGAAAAAAACTGTCAATGTGACAAATAAAAAGAGAATCCTTACATAACCATTACTCAAATCTGAAAGTATTGATACTTGTCAGCATCTCAAAAACCCCCCATATCCTTTTCTCATCACAAGCTCCTTCCCTCTTCCCAGTTAAACACCATCCTCACTTCTTGACAATCCTTTCCTTTAACCTGCATGCATCCCTAACAAAATAGTTTAGTTTTGTCAACATCTAACTTTATGTAGAGGATCACAGTATATGAAGTCTTTTCTATCTTATTTCTTTCACTAAACATTGGTTTAAAAAATTCATCCACATTGCTGCCTGTAGCTCTAGTTCATTCAATTTTATTGCTTGATAGTTTTCCCACTGTACGAATACACATAATTTATTTAATTTTTGACTCTTAATGGACATTTGTGTTTTTTTTCAGTTTGTGCTAATGCAAATAATGCACACGAATCCTGCTGTACCGGTTATCCTGGTGCATTTATACAGGGCGGGAGTGAGGGCTGCTGGGTCACGGGGTATTTATATACCTTCAGTTGATGGAGAGTGCTAAATGCTTTCCAAAGTAGTTGTGTTGATTTATACTCCAGTATAAGCAGGGTATAAGATTCCCATAGTACTCCAGGTCTACAATACCTGATACTACCAAAGTTTATTTATGTATTTGTCAATCTGATTGGCATGTAGTTTCACTGGTTTTGACTCACTTTTCTCTTATTACTTAATGAAGTCGTATGCTTTTCCATGTTTACTGGCTGTTTGGATTTCCTTTTTTTATGAGGTTTAAGTCAACTATTGTTATTTTAAAATTTTAAAATTTTTATTTATTTATTTTTGGCTGTGTTGGGTCTTCATTGCTGCCTGGAGGCTTTCTCTAGTTGCGGCGAGCAGGGGCTACTCTTTGTTGCGTTGCGTGGGCTTCTCATTGCGGTGGCTTCTCTTGTGGAGCACAGGCTCTAGGCGCGCGGGCTTCAGTAGGTGTGGCTCGCAGGCTCCGTAGTTGTGGCACACGGGCTTTGTTGCTCCACGGCATGTGGGATCTTCCCGGACCAGGGCTCAAACCCACGTCCCCTGCATTGGCAGGTGGATTCTTAACCACTGCGCCACCAGAGAAGTCCAACTATTGTTATTTTGAATTCTTCTCCATTTCCAAGTAATACTCTTACATAACTATTTTCTCACTAAATTTGAGGCATTATCTGTTAACTTTCTAATTTACTAAGTAAGGGTTTAGTTC